AGTGTGATGTATTCAACGATTAACATAATGTGAATTCAATTTTTTTTAGTATGTTTAAGGTCATGAAATTGGATTCATACAACATCCTGCATAAAACTAATGAACAATTTGATGAATTAACACAATGGCCTGGCTAACCCAATATGGTGATAAGACTTCCCACAATAAGCTGTACCTGAAACTAGTCAAAAACCTAATCCAAGGTGCTGTATGACGTAATTGAGTAAAATACACAACAGAAATTATTTTATTTTCTTATTGAACATTTACAAAAAATATTTAGTGACCCTGGCACATATATTACAGACATAATTAGTAACTCATCCTACCCAATCTGGTTTTATAAAAGTTCACCAAGTACTTGATAATGATTAATCTCCATTGAGAGCCAGTTTGGTCTATTGGTTAGTAGGCTAAAAACCAGGAGTTCTAATCCCACTTTAGGCATGAAAACTGACTGACTGACTTTGAACCTGTCACTGTCTCTCAGTCCATACCACCTATTAGAGTTGTTGGGTGGAAAAAACAGGATGAGGAAGGAGAATTAGATATGTTTACCACCTTGAATTGTTTATAAAAATAATAAAAGTGGGATTACTTTTTTTAAAAAAAATATTCTGATTATTCATTTGGAAAAAATCAAAACCAGAATTTGTGGCTTTGTTGGATATGGACAAGATTTTTGAATTGTCACCTAAATAACAATTTCATTTCATTCCTTTTTATTAACTGGATCAATATGGGGTGTTCTGTGCCCCTTGCTGGGCAAATGGAATTATCTTTTCTTTTGTCTGTCAGAAATCTTGTAGAGATCAGCAATAATATCAATTTTTCTTCTTATTTTTCATTTAATAATGGAACCATAACCTTTTATTAAGCAAATACAGATTTCAAGTATGAGCTGAACACAAACTGTTATATGTGCATTGTAATTATTTTCTATATACCAACATTGATATTTTGTAGCAGTTTTGTAATTTATCAAGTAATTAAAGTCTTATATACCTTTAACGTGGTCTAATATTTCTGTGCAAACTAGGACTTTAGTTTTTGCATTTTTATCTCTCTCAGCAACCCCTAGAATTTCTTAATTTAAATTTTCCTATAATATCATTTTTCAATTTTCTTGACTTCAGCTTTGTTGTTGGGCTTGTAGTTTCACATTAATTTCTCTACAAGAGAAGGAGGCTTTGGGATGAGTCTGGAAAATCACTCTCTGATGGAGAAAGACCACTTGCTCCTCCAGAAGAGTGAAGCAGCAGATCAGACTGCCAAGATACTGGAGAAAATCAGTTCGATGTTTGCAGTAAACCTGGAGGCTCCTCTATTTTCAGAAAACTATGCTGCTCAGTATGTCCTCCAGCTAGCTCAGCTGTCAAAGGAGCGTAGAGAACTCAACCAAGCCCTCGCTCTCAAGGAGGTCCCCACTCGGAAACTGGCTCAGACTGACCATCCGTCACAGGAGGAAGACATTTTGAAATCAGCCTGTTCAAGTTGGATAAAAGCACCCAGGAGGAAAACCTGGGCCCAGAATGGATTCCGTATCTTCAAGAGAGTACCTTCAGGCTGAGAACACTCAGTCAGATTTCTCAAGTGATTATTCCATGGCGTTTCTCCAAAATTGCACGTTCAGGCTGGATAAAAGCACCCAGGTGACCCAAAAAGACACTTTCTTTGAGCCTTCTGCATCAAACAGAAAAGAAAGGTCTCTGAACGACGAATGGAGCCGGGTGCTTTGGAAGCTTCCCAGAACAGCGCCTCATCTCATTCCTGCTGCTTGCACCCACAATGCTGCTGCACACAACGAAGTAACGTCAAATAAGTTTCTTGTACTAATTCTTATTCTTCATAATAAAAGTGTTACTTAAATTGGTGGTATCATTCTGCAATTTGTATCTGTTCTCTGCAGAGGATATGTGACTGCCTGGCAGAGGGAAATATCTGTCCCCATTCAAGATGCTGTATTAGCAAGACAGTTTGCACACCACAAAATGGTGGGACTGAAAGTGTGCTTTCTGGCTCAAAACTGACAAGATTAATCTGTTTCACACATTTTTTTCTTCTTAACCATTCCCCACCCTTTGGAAAGCTAGTCCTGGCACTGGGATAATTAACAAGAAGGGAATTAATGTTTGTATATAAAATAGGTTGCTGCAAAATATTTTTCTACAATATGCTTGTGGCATGTGCTTAGTTTCAGAATGGCTCCAGTTATTGCCTTTCCTGGGTGTCCTTGCTCTGCTCGGATATCTTGCTATTCGTCCATTCCTTTCCAAGAAGAAACAGCAGAAGGACAGCTTGATTAATCTCAAGATCCAGAAGGAGAATCCCAAAGTAGTAAATGAAATCAACATTGAGGATCTATGTCACACTAAGGCAGTGTACTGCAGATGCTGGCGCTCTAAAACAGTGAGTTATTTTATTGAATTTGCTATACTTAAAGGTTGTTCTTATCTCTTATCATAGAGTGGCTCACTTCTTTTAAAAATCATGATTGTACACTTCAGGATAAAATGTTCCTGCAGACTGTTTATCACTAGTGAGGAATTCATACTTTTTTTTTTTAACTTTTTCCGGAACTAGTTTTGATTGCATACTAGTAAATACCTCCATTTTAAAATATATTCTGTAGCTGGAAAAACATTTTTGTCCATAGTCCTTTAGGATCATTGGGAAAGGTGATGCCTGAGAGCTTTATACATGCTTTTGTGGACCAGCACGGTCCTGGTACTTTGCCAAGCTACCAGGCCATATATGTTCACTATGATTTATAACTCAAATGATTTAAACTCTTTGCAACTTTCATTTAGCTTCTGAACCGCAAGGGTGAATTTGCTGGAGAAGAATAATAGCTATGATATAGATGTGATTTGTCTATTTTATTTAACTAGCTAAGGATGGCACGCCATTCCATGATTAGGACAAGTGTTATAAATCATGACATGTTATCTGATCATAAACCATAGTTGAATTTGGATAAAGAGCCAAATAATATTATGATCTTGTTACTTATGATTTGATGTGTCCAAATTGGCAATTAATTATTTTAGCAGGTAGATTACATTAAGCAGAATTCTCTACATATGCATATAACATTTAATATAATTTATTGCTAGAACAGGAGTTATAATCAAGAAGATGAAGATAAAAGCAAAGAACAGCCAGTACCAATTGAATTCTCAAAATAATCTAATGTAATTTATTAATGTAGATATTTTAAACCAAGCCTATTATGATTTCTAAACTACACTTTATACCTTAACACGTGAAAGCCAAGCCAATTGTTGAGGTTAAATGAAATTTTGGACAGAATATTTTTGTAGCTGTTCATTTCTAAACAGTGCTCACTCCTATTTAAGCCATTGTTTTAAAGAATACATATCAGATGCTCAACTTGTTCAACAGTTCTTAGTATTGGTGATGAATAAATATAGTCCATAATTTAAAGCACCAAGAGTGACATTTAGATTTCACTCTTTAGTTTAGTTAACATTTTGGATAGCCGTTGTCCTTGGTGCTCTTCTGACATTATCCAAGCTAGCCTACCAATCACATCTGTGTATGTATTGTGCTTAATAATGCATTTAAGGGTAATTTGTCCCTTAATCTTAATTAATCCTAAAACCACTAACATTCCAGTCTTCTGCTTTTTGTTTCTTGTTTTTGTTTCAGTTCCCTGTCTGTGATGGCTCTCACAACAAACACAATGAATCAACAGGAGATAATGTGGGCCCTTTAATACTCAGGAAAAAAGAAGTCTAGCAAATTTCTGAATATGCTGCGACTGAAGGGAAGTCGTGTATATGTATATGTAGGGCTTTCAGTCTTATAATAATCACAGGGTTATACTTTAATATATTTTTAGACTATCTTAAATTTATACTTTGTGCTAGATGTTAGATAATTTGTTGTATAGTTTTATATAACAAAAATATACTATATGTATTCTTTGTAATCATAGAATTATTTTTCCCAGAACTGCAGTGTTTGTAATAAAAATTAGAGAGATACTTCTAGTCTAACTACAGGTATATCTGCATTACAGATATAAAGCCAGCCGTACTGCCAGATTGCTACAAAACTGTATTTTTTAATATAAAAATAAAAAAAATCTTGGTCCATTTTGAATACATAGCGGAAAAAAGAGTCATGAGTGTTAACAAGATTGATACCATATAGTACACATTTTTTACAGAGTCTAGTTGTTCTGCTCCGAATACCACGAAGTCTCCTCCCAGAAGTTAACAAAGAAAACTGGTCATGGAGAAGAGGTGTAGCATCCCTGACAATACTACAGACTCTAGTCAAGCAGCGCTTATATGCCATGTCATGGATAGAAGTGAACTTCCAATAATCTTTTCTGCTGTCCTCACTACGCTCTGCACAGCCTTCCTATCGAAACAGTAATACAGCTAGTCTTCGACTTATGACCACAATTGAGCCCAAAATTTCTGTTGCTAAGACAGACATTTGTTAAGAGTATTGCCCCACTTTACGACTTTTCTTGCTACAATGGTTAAGTGAATCATTGCTTGTTAAGTTACTAACCAGGTTGTTAAGTGAATCTGACTTCCCCATTGACTTTGCATGTCAGAAGGTCTCAAAAGTTGATCACATGACCCTGGGACACAGCAATTGTTATAAATCTGAATCAATTGCCAAGTGCCATTTTGATCACACGACCACGGAGATGGTGCAATGGTTGCAAATGTGAAAAACTATAAATCACTTTTTTCAGTGCTGTTGTAACTTTGAATGGTCACTAAATGAACTGTTTTAAGTTGAGGACTACCTGTCCTTCCAAACCAAAACAGTAATACAATATGGGAGGATGCTTTCAATCATCCCTCTACAGAAAGTAGTAAGGATAGAGGAAAGAAGAGAAAGCTATTGTCAGGTTGTACAGGCCACATTTTTCTAGCTTTTTATCTTTATAATCTGGTACTGTATCTAAGGCAACAGAACTAACTGCAGCCTGTAGATAGGTTGTTTGTTTTTTAAAGTCACTGATTTCATATATCACACTAAATCATGGTTTCTCTAGCCATAATTGACTGAATAAAGCACAATGGCCAGGATTCAAATATCACATTATGCCATAAAGAAGAACAACAATATTTGAATCCACCTACTGTGCTAACAAAAACCTAAACAAATTAAATCAGCAATTAGTAAAGCAGATTTCTCCGATGCACCTTAAGTTTATGGGAGAACCTTTCTCCCCCCTCCCTTCTATCTGCAGCCAGCCACTTCCCTCAAAGTTCTCCTATATGGGGACACATCCCGAAATCATGTTTGCTCAGTTTAGACTATTCTCAATCTTATTGCTTGTAATTTTTCCTCTATATTGTTCTAGCACAGCCTTTCACAATTGGAGTATCCCTTTGTGCGTGCTTTGACTTCCATAATCCTCATAGCAGCATTGCCATTTCTGAGAATTTTAGGAATTAAACTCCACACATCATGTCATCCACATTGGAAAATATTGTTTCAGAGTATTCTCTACGCATCAACAGTATTTGGAAACATGCAACATGGCATCATTTTAGATGTCTAACACCCCAAATAAATTCAGTATTCTGATGCTTCAACACAAATATCTTATAGATGTTATGTTTGAGATCTGTATAGTTACTCCTGAGATGTACTGTATAAAATAAAAATACCTATAATGGATAAATTAGGTGATAAATTAATTTCCTTGAAATTAAATTTTTAAATGCATTTATTGTCAATTTCTTTTTCTAAGCAGTACTGTGGGTTAAATGTATTGAAGCATTTGTATTTAAATATATTTTGATTGATACATTAGAAGAAATAACTGTTGTCACAGGTGGTCTAAACCTGTAGCAAACAGTATGTGAAGTTTCCCAAGAATGACTATGCCACATCAAAAAGGCCTCCTTGATATTAGCCTGCCTTACCTGACTCAGGTGCAGGTTTTGGGTTGGTTGTACAATTTGGACAGTTGCTTTCAGGACATGCTAGTGCAATAAATAATTTTTCCTTCCAATGAAAGTCGGCAACAAAAAGCCACAATTCGAACTGCTAAAACCAAAAACATAGTTGCCAAACATAGTCCTATAATAAAGAAACACTTAATTGTTCCATCTGACCTAGGATAATATTTGTAAGAGCAAATGCTAGGGAATGACAATTTTCATTGGTAAAATATAGCTAAGTATTTTCCAGTGCATTTCTGAAGCCAATTAGCCATGGCTGTATTTGTGTATTACTTAACTCATTATCAAAAAAATCTTTTTTTAAATGAGGTATTTTATTTATAACCATGACCTCCAATTGATCAGAGCAAATGTATAGAACCTTGTTGTGATGTACAGATCTCTTCTACAAACAAGGTCTCTTGCTTTCACAGTAGTGCAAAACTAAAACTTATATACTACTACTAATTTTTGGCTTTCCAGGTATTTTATCATACCTATCTTGGAAAACTATTTCATATACCCAAAACTACATGAACAATAATATTTATATATTTATACATCTTGGGATCCTTAGTTGTCAGTTAAAATATTTATAATGTAATATATATGATTATATTACATATAATAAAAACTGATTATTCATCTGAATGCATAGCGTGCATCAACAGGGTTTTTAGTTGAATGACTGGTAACTTTTTTTAAAAAAAATTCTAAGTTTGCTGCATGGAGAAATATAACTGCCAATTTATATACTGCTATAAACCATAGTGTGATTTTAAATCTGGGTTCATGGCCCACTATGTTCTATAAATGCCACCAATTCTAGCGAAGATTCTGGTTCTTCTCATAAGGAAGCCAGTATATTTCAGAATGCTAGATGCAAACTTACCAAGAGTTTCAAACCCAAGTGAAGTAATGGAGATTTCGGTTCCAGTTAAACCAAAGACTAGAAATTGATGGAGCTGCCATAGAAGAGGCACTTTTTTATTAAGTGTTATAAAAGGCAGAAAAATCTTAACTGCTGTATCTATACTACATTAACCTGATTAATATTTTTGAAAAATTGCTCAAGTCTTAATGTATTTCAATATACCTTGACTTTTATAAGAGGTAAATGGTTCTGAAAAGTATCTATACATGGCTTCTATCAGGACTTACAATAATAATGCCATTATTTTATTTATGATATATGATGTTAAGGATGTACATACATGTATTACATATATAATGATGTCAATAATGCATACATATATTTGGTCAATGAGTAAAATACAATGACTGAATGTCCGACATACATCTACACTCATAAATGTATGTGTCTGTTTGTGTATACAGTATAATGAGCGTGTGAATATATATATGTGCATGTGTGAATGAAAACCATCAGAAGGTTAGGAGATAAAATGTTTTAGAAAAAGGAAAGGGACTGAATAAAAAAAGTGAAATAGTTATGTGATAGGACTATGTAAATTTATTTATTTGGGATATGAATACACATACACTGTGTGAACAAATGTGAATAGGTGGCATAAAATCAACAAACAATAATAAACCTGTATAGCTAAAAACAGCATATGAAACTAATAAATTATCAGGCATGCAAATTTGCATTACAACTCTCCATGTGCAATTCCAATTTGCTTGACCTCAGTGACTGGAAAAAAACCCAGGTTTTAGTACCTTTTTGAAGGCCAGCTTGATAGAGCCAACCACATATTTGGGCCCCCAATAATAGCTTGTGGAGGAGTGGGCATTACATGGTTTGGTGACTTCTAGATGGTCTTTGAGGGAAGCCCCATGTGGACTTGGTCATAATAATCCATCTGGGATATGAATAAGGCATGAGCCTCCCAGTTCAGGAATTGGCACAATCAGTGCACAAGGCAAAGCTGTATGAAGGCCAACCTGGATATAGATGCTACCTGCTCTTCAAGCAGCAGTTAGGATAACCCATTAATTGTATGCTGTATACTCCCAAGAGACAAAGATAAACACTCTTCAGTCCTGGGATCAGATAGGCCAAATTTATAGATACTTAGTCTTGGTTGACTTAAAGCTTATTCATTCCCCATTCAGAAACTAATATTCTTCATATACCAGAATATTCTTCATATATCAGAACAGAACTCAAAAGCATTATGTGGGCAGAGAGATAGAACTGGATATCAATAGCATACTGATATTACACAACATATGGAAGGAAGTCTTCCCCCAGCTCTTGGGCAGATCCAGAAGATATCAGACAAGATATCAGACAAGAAAGAGACAATCCAATCCAAGGCCATTTTTGCTACAATTAAAGGCTCAGTTGCACCGGGCATCCAAACTTCAAGGCCAAATCCCAAATTACTTTTGAACCCTAGCAGTTCTGAAGTTGGGAATAGTCTTGATAAATACCAGGGTTAACAAAGAGTAATCCATTAATAATAAGGGACTGATGACAATGTCTCCCTATTCCAGATCATGTCCCACTTGTTAAGTCAAAAAATCAAGATTCTCATGTGCTCCCTCCCTACCCTGTAAATGAGACTCTCAATAAATTGGAGCACGTGGAAATTAGTACCTTTTCTTCAAAGCAATCACAGGCCAAATGCATGAGTCTTTCAGTGATTTCATCTACAGAGGATGCTTTCTCAGCAAGAGCACTATCTGTCAAAAGAAAGACTGCAGTGAAAAAGAACTGTTCACATAAAGGATATATTATACATTTTAAAGTATTATGACTCATGAACGCATATATGGATCTGAAGTTCTTTGTTCTTATACAAGACAAATGATGAAATGATTCTCAAATTGTTGTAAACACATCAAGAGACACAATGAAAAAAGAATTAGTTTTATATCGTATTAGTTGTGAAAGATCATAAATTGGCTCCAATCTTGGCATGACTCTTCACTTATATTGACACCACTGGATGCATCCCTGAGGATTGAGGCCTGGCAATTATAGTTCCAAACTATAAAAAGGGAAAGCGATGACTGCAAACTGCCTTGCTCAATGTAATCAGCAAACTCTCCACTAAACTTCTTCACAATAAACTTAAGAACTGGCTGCAAAGGTTCCTCTCAAAACAAGTTACAGCTCAAAAGAGATAAAACAGGATTGTGTTTGGGCCCCTCCTGCTTTTCAACTTCTACATCAATGGCATAGTGAGATGTTTAAACGAACCCAATTTCCACCCCCGAAAACTAGGGGATTGCAGTATTGCCCTGCTTGCTGCTTTATGCAAATGATACTATACTTCTCCACAGAGCACCAATAGGCCTCAAAAGAGCTCTGAGATCTTTGGTCCAATATTTCAATAATGACAATCTGGAAATAAATTATCAGAAAACTAAGATTATGGATTTTGCCAAAAGGCAAATGCCCCATTTATGGAGCATTAATGGCCATAAAATAGGACAGGTCACTAGCTTTAAATATTTACAGTTGTAGTAGTCATGCATATCATTGTCTCAAGGAAAGCCCACTGCAAATAAGCTGCTGCTACCTGATAAAGGTCTCCTAATGACACCCTCAAATTCTTCTGATCCAAGGAAGGATATTACATTCCAGCCACTCTCAAGCTTTTTCAGGCTAAGCCTCTAGACCAGTTCCTCAACAGGACTTTGATTGCCCCCACCCAGCTTCATGTTTTACCTCTGTGGAAAGAGTACAATCTAAATTCATTATGGCAGCTCTCCGATACCATGCTATGTCACAAACACACATCTATGACTGGAGACAGAAGTTGAGTCCAGAGTGTGTCTACCTTCTATAAACCTTTGGCTAAAGCTCAACTTTTTTTCTCAAGGCTTCCATTGATCCTTCATGGATTAAGGCTGTGGAATTTAGTCTCTTCAAGCCAAGTTCTCCCTCTACAATTCTTAAGATAGAATATGATCAGGTGAAACAACCCCTAAGGTAAAGGTTAAAGGATATAGAGAGGCAAGCATTTGAGGGAAAGCTCCAATCTTCCTGTCACCAGTACACAATCAATACATTTATACTGTTGCCAGCTACCTTACCCAGCTAGAAACACCTGGCCATCAGAAAGCTTTCTTCTCCTCCCCCTCCTCCTCTCCCCTTCTTCCCCCCCCCCCAGTACTGGACTGTAAATTTAAGTTCCATTTACTGAAAGCCTTTGCCTTTTTAATTTTGGGGAGGCAGAAACAAGGCCTCTAGAATCTCCTTCTACATTGCTCTCATTATGGAAACATCTGAAGTAGATTCATATTTTTTTCTGATCAGTAGATATCATGGTTGTCCAGATTCAGCCAATGCACAGATGCTGCTCATAGAAGTACTGCTTGTTACAACACATGCACCTAAGTTTTGCACAGCACCATAGATCTGTTGAATTTTGATACATTACTGTGCAATGTATCCCCGCAGCTATAAATCACTGAAATTTTAATACTATCTTGCTGCCGCCCAACTATCAGCTTTCTGCAAGAACTGCAGCACCTCCAGGCAGATTCCTGGACTTACATAGGTGTGGGATCAGGGTAGAACTGCCGCTGGCCCATCAGCTGTTCTAAAAGCAATCTACAGTAGTAACACCAATCCTCAAAACAAAAGTGAACAAGCACAAGACAAAAAGAATCTTTCTGCAAACCATCTCAAAATACATGCAAACAAACAGTATTATAGAATGCAAATGAACTACAGTAATAAATCTGCTTTCTATAGATGCTGGACACTATTTCTGCAAGCAATTGCAAGGGAAACACAAACAGAAACAATAATGAAAAAATATTATAGTACTTATATAGAAGGTTGCAAAATGATTACAATTAAGCACAGCAGTTTATGAAGTACTTATAAATAAGCATAGTGCTATAATGAAAAAGAAAATGTTAAAATACTTACAAAGGCAACTATAGTGCTCCATCCTAAAGACAACAGAAAAGACTGAAATTAATATTTACATTAAAAAAGGAATTTGTGTCCAGTGGAGAAGCTCTCAGTGTGCATGGAAAGCAACAGAATATAATCTTCATAATAAGATCAATAAGAGGGGGCAGAAGGATAAATACTACAATCATACTACATAGGTAAATATATGTAGAGTAGACAGTAGTGCAAGAATTGGATGTTCAGGGCACTAAGAGAAAAAAGAACCGATGCTGCCTCTAGTTGTTTGTCCTATAGCGACATCTCCAGGGAAGGAGTCTAAACAGTTTGTGTCCAGGATGTCAGGGCTTTGTAGTTACCTTCTCAGCCCTGCTTCTGACCCGTGCAATATCCAGATCCTCAATGAAAGGCAGGCTGGTTGCAATTTTTCTTTCTGCAGTCTTAATTATCCGTTGAGTTTCTACCTGTCCTGTTTGGCTGCTTTATCTCTTTAACAAAAAAGGTTACGGCTTCAGGGGCCAGGCCGGCCAGCAGCCGGGAATCCAACCTCCCGTCCGCCCGTAACACTCCTACCGGGCCCAGCTGAGCCGCCGAGCGCCGCTGCCCAACGCCCAGGGCAAAGGCAGGCGGCAGTCTTCCCTCCCGGCTTCTTCCTCCGCACGGCGCTTTGGCCAAGCCGGCACGCCGAGGCTGGTCCGGGGGCCCAGCTCACCTTGTTGATGCGTGTCAGCGCCATCCTTCCTTCTCGCGGGGAGAGCGTCGCGATGAGGGTGGTGGTGGTAATGGGTGGCCGCCGCGGCCGGTGGGGAGGGAAGCATTCGAACTGCGCCTCCTTCGCCTCCGCCTCGTGTGCGCCGCCGCTGCCGCACTCCCTCCCTGCGGGTGGGGGATGGAGTCGCTCGCCCGCCCGCACCGAACACCAGTCGACGGATGCCTCCAGACGAGTCTCTCCGGCAAAAGGGCAGCGACGGAGAGGAAGGGGGGGGTAGAGAATGAGAGGGCGATGGCGGAGGAGGCACGTCTACGACGCGCGCCCGCGTGATGTCCCGCCCCTAAGTGCCTTCCGATTGGTGGAAGCCAGCAACACTCAACTGCCGCTATAGGAAAGGAGACCGCGCGCTCATTCGGTGGAGTGAAATGAGCTAGCTAGATTTGCGCGCGCGCATTTTGTCATTACTATATTTACTAAACCTGGTCATTTGCTTGATGATGTCACAATGTGCATATCATTGTTTTGAGAACAGTATGGCTTGTTATGGATGTTTATGCATATGTGTATCCACTAATACTATTTTACAGTAGGATTCTTAGAATTATCCCTTTTGAGAATTCAGATTTGAGTTAAAGTCGTTATTGGGAAAAATAGTTAAAAGGAAGGAAGAGGCTGATCTTTCACCCCAAGTAGGCACTAGCTTCTTAGCTGGATGAGGAAGGGCCTCCAGGCACGTGAATCAAGTCTTGTTAGGTAGAGACTGTACTTATATTAGGGACTCTTCAGAAAGAACAAGCAAATGATCCTGATTGGTCCTCCTCTCCCCCTTTTTTGGTTGAAAACAGTTCCTGCCTTCTAAGTATAATTGTTTTTACTGTTGAGATGAAGATTAGTGGAAGCAGGTTAAGGCTGCAGCCTGACTTGATAACTTTTGATACTAAAACTGTCTCTCCTTCCATGTAAACAAAGCAAAAATGTCCTGGAGCCGAGTTCGGCTTCTCGGGTCAACGTATCCACGTAACGAAAACTCTGGACAACCGCCAGATGGGAGAAATTAGCGTGGCAAAATTGTAACGCTCCGGCTTCCAGCGGTCTCCGGATACAGGCAGCCTCGCGTGGCATCTCTGTTTTTGCCAAGTGCTTATTCCAACCAAACGACAACAGCTCAACTCTCCGTCCAGCAACACACCAGAAGCGGTTGCTTTATCCCGGCCTTTTCCCAGCTTCCTAGCCTGGCCTACTTTCCTTCGCAGATTCCAACTAGGGCGACGCTGCTTAACTCGTCACGCCTTCCGAGGCAGCTCCGGGTTTCGTCCCTCTCGGGCCACCGGCTCGTCAAACGCCCGCCCGGCCGCCGGAGAAAGCCGCGGCGCCTTCGCGAGAGGGCGGCAACACATCTATCCGCCCCGCCCTCCTTCCTCGGTAGGCCCCTCCCCCGGTGGCGCGCATGCTCCGTGGCCGGGAGAGCCACTGCTTCTGTGCGAGGAAAGAAGGGCAAAGTCCGACCCTGGCATGAAAGTTCGCCGCGCGAGCCGGAGATAACCCAGCGGTGTCCAGTGTCGCCCCGCCTGGCCCAAATCTCGCTCGGCGCCATGGTGCTGGATAGCTTGGCCCGCATCATCAAAGTGCAGCTGCCTGCTTACCTCAAGCGCCTGCCGCTGCCGGAGAGCGTCGGCGGCTTCCTGAGACTCACAGGTTAGGGGGCAGCGCAGGGCTGTTTGGGAAAGGGAAAAGGAGGGCTGTTTGTGTGTGTTTGAGTGAAAGCTGTGGCTACGGCGCCGTTTTCTGGACAAGCCTGACGTATCATGGAATATCCCCATTTCTTGCAAACCCAGCGTTTGCTCTCCGCTTCCCTTAAGAATGGACACTTGCATAAAGTCAGCTCGGAAATAAACTCCGATGGATTCAATGGGAGGAAGTCGGGCAGCCTCCTCCGCTGCATTCTGTGGATTGACTACAGTGCCCAGTTTTCCACCATGTGATGCTCCCTCCGAGAGGGGCACACAGCATCTTGGTTCCTCCTTTCTGCAGCTACTAACTTTGCTGGCTTGCTTCCAGGGGTTGGAGAAATGGAAAACTAATTGATATTCCAACAGAGAAAATATAACTTGGGTTCGCACGTGGTTTGTTTATACCTGTCTTATTTTTTAAATATCTCATGCCAAGCTTGAAACAACAGATAAAGCCACAAACTATAATACAGTGGTTAACCATGATGGAAAAATCTATATCTGAGAGATGCCAGATTGATATTTAGGCTTCCATGATGGAGGGGAGAATGTCAAAACGTGTTTTGTTTTGACAAAAACACATGACTTGAATTGCAAATACAAATACAAAAGGTTAAGTTTGAATGATAATGGAATAATAGAGTTGGAGATCTTCTAATCCAGCCTCCTTCTGGTAGGAAGTCCTATAATATTTCAAATGGTTGTCCATTCTCTTCTTAAAAACCTCCACAGTGTTAGAATACTCACAACTTCTGGAGGCAGCTCATTCCACTGATTAATTGTTCTGATTGTCAGGAAATTTCTCCTTAGTTGTAGGTTGGTTCTCTTTTTGATTAGTTTCCATCCATTGCTTCTTGTCCTGCCTTCAGGTGCTTTGGAGAATAGGTTGACCCCCCTTCTTTGCAGCAGCCCCTTAGATATTGAAGCACTGCTATCATGTCACCCCTAGTTTTCATTAAACTAGACATATCCAATTCTAGCAACAGTTTTTTATGTGTTTTAGCCTCCAGTTCCTTAATCATCTTTGTTGCTTTTCTCTGCACTCTTTCTAGAGTCTCAATATCTTTTTTATGTTGTGGTGACCAAACCTGGATGCAATATTCCAAATGTTGTCTTTATGTTGTCATGTTTGTTTCATCATTATATTTGTATCTATGGATTGTAAAAGTCACATCTTAAAATAATTCTATTTCTAAAGGGTTATTTTCGTTTTTGGTTTCACATTCCAAAACATCTGTTTTATGTGCACTTTTAAGCACATTTAAATGCTTCTGTAGATAATGCAGTTTCCCAGGTGACAGCATCTTTATTAATTTTTTAAAAATTATTGATGCAGTTTGATCTGGGCTGTATGTAACCTAAATAATGCATTTAAAATATTGTAGGCCACCCAGTCTCTTTTGGGAGTTGGGTGGCCCCACAACCCAATAAATTAAATTAATTGATTTAAAAATAAGCTAATTGAGGAGATAGTTCTAGGGTTGTAGATAGAATAGAAAATAGAAAAGTGTCCTGGAAGAAGGCAAATGCAAACCACTTCTATGTTGTTCCCCAAACCTTCTGTAAAATCACCAGGAGTTTCCACCTGAGAAAGAAAAACTGTATAGGAATTTTATCCATTCATGTTTTCCTATGTTTTCCTAATGCTAATAAGTAGGATTTTAAAATAAAATAAATTTCTTTAGATTTTGTCGTCTATCATTTCAATCTGTATTTATAAACAATATAAGGTAAATAGTACAATCATATTTTTAGAAACTAAGATTATTGAATCATGTACCTTATGTCTATGTTGATTTTTCAGTTTTATGTATCTAAATAGTTTTGATTGTTTATTCAAGCCACTTGGAACTGTATGTAGTGGAGTAAAAAAGTACATAAGCAATGATAATTGATAACATTATACAACAGATTTAGCACGAGAATGTTTATTTAGTTCACTTATCTGGCCAACCATCTTCCATGAAGTGACTCTGGGTAGCATACAACCATTAAATAAAAATATATGAAAATTAATACAACAATCCAGTTTTTGAGAGAGTAGATCAAACACAAGGCCAGAACCATCTTAAAATATTCCTAGTTCTTTAAGATCACCCCAAGTCAGGTCTTGAGAGACTTATGGAACATTAGCAGTGATGTAACTAATCTCACTTTGGAAGGAGAATGTTCCACAAGCGGGGCATCCAGGCAGAGGCCAGCCAAGTCAAGCAGACAATGCATGCTCTTTTTGCCAGCTCTAATGGGGACAGGCAGATGCAATTGCAGATGGGTAGTCCTTCGGGCAACCCAGTCCCACACCATGATATATAGCAACATTCTTCAGTGGAGATAAGTTACTTTTTTCTATATTAAATCATCTTTTATTCCTACAGTGGTATGGTTTTTGGTAATTATGCTTTTATGATCTTTTTCCGTGCATGTTTCTGTCGTGAGTGATGTTTTTATTTCTCGTATTTCTAAATCATCCATTCCTAAAAAGAGTAGATATGATACCAATAAAAGAGAATATTTGTAGCTCAGGTTGAACTATGGGTACCTTGGGGCTCTCTGAGCTTGGAGTTTTTGTTGCAGACGTTTCATTAACAAACTAGGTATCAGTGCACTTCAACCTATCTTAGTCATAGCATGTGATGGAATATCCATGTTGGAGACGAGATCAACATAAACCTTGTGACAATAACTGGGGAGGAAAGTATGTGAACTTATTCTTGGAAAAATAAACCAAACACTTGTTCTCTTTCTTGTGTTAATAGAGGAAGGATCACTTCTCTTTCATGCCTGAGCATGATCAATTTTCCTGATTCCGCATGAGACTCGGATATGTCTGTGTAAATGTGTCTGCCAAGTGGCATGTTAATCTTGTGTGGGACATCAGCTCCCCCAGAAAAGGAAATATTAAAAGGGCAGAATATTATATTTCCTCAAAGGATTTTAAAGAGGCAGAAAAACATGCCCAGTTTTTCTTAATAGCCCCAAGTCTCTCTCCCCCAAGCAGAAACCTGCTCTGTAGAAATGCAGATTAGTAATCCATTTAGGAAGGTTGGAGGCCTCCAGCTAGAAGCTTAGGAAGACAAAGACACCTAAAATCTACATAGCCCACCCAAACTCTAAGACAGAGCATAATAGGATTAACTCACAGATGCCAAAGGGGCACACTCAGACTCAGGTCAAAGTACATGACACAGGAAATACAAAGCCTCAAAAGGAACAGGAAACAACTTCAAGAGCCCCAGATGGTATAAAAACCCACTCCCTATACATGTTCTCTCTCTTTTCTTCCAGAGCCATCTTTCTGTCTGGCTCTCCTCTTCAATTAACTGCAACCTTCTTTCTAAAGCGGTCACCATGTTGTTTATTCCCGACTTGGACTGAACCATGATGAAGACTTTTCCTTCAAAACTTGTTTTCCCTCTCTCTTAAAACTACTGGTTAGATGTATACAGCATGCCAAAGTAGGTCTACTAAAGATCTAATAGCTGCAAACACACAACATAATTTTAGTTAGATTAACCTTGGTAATTTTGCTTATTGTGTGAAATCAGTTGACTTGATTGTGCAAGCTCAAAAAATGAGTTAATTGTCAGCAGATTAAGTTTGATTTTGACTGTCTATCCAGAGTTAGTTTTCTTAATCAACATGGCATATCGCTTATCTCTGCTTTTATTTCATTTTTTTAAAATCTTGATTCCAACTATTAACTGTTTCTAGGCTGAGCTGCCTAATAAATTCAGAGGTTTGGAGAGATAACTAAGCTTCAGCTCAAATGAGTTTATTGGCTCTGTAGACTCTACATAGCTACAAGGTTAAAAAACAGTTAAAAGTGAAAAGCACAGCTGAAAGGCCAATATGGGGTAGAAGATAAAATTCTTTGAAAGAAAAGGAATCTTGTTCAACCTGCCTTTCTTGATTGAATTCAGAGTAGCTTTGGAAATTTTATCTATCAATTTGTGAAGAACAGAGGACTTTAACAATTTCACAGGGAAGGTCACCTTCAGGCCCATAATTTTATTGCCTTATTTGCCTCTTCCTGTTAATTCATTTGTACTCTTGCATCAGGCTAAATATCTGTTGTTAGCACAGTTACAATAGACAGAGAAGCCCATCACTGCCTGACATGCTGCTCCCAGAATATGGTGTTTTCTTATGTTAGCCTAGTAAATTGGTCATGAGTTAAAATCATGCTTCCATGGAAGGATGTTTCCCAAAAACATTATGCAGTTACTTTGCATAACAGATTTTTGGCTAATAGAAAGTTTCAAGACACAGACAGTAATTGTGTCTTGGACTCATACAACATGCTGTATAAAACTAATGAACAATTTGATGAATTAACACAATGACCTGGCTAACACAATATGCTAACGGTAAGCAGTAATTGACTTCCCACAATATGCTCTACCTGCAACTAGTCCAAAACCTAATCTATTGTATCAAGTAATTGAGTAAAACAGAACACAAATGATTTTATATTCTTGTTGAACATTTACAAAAAAATATTTAGTGACCATGACACATATATTACAGACATATTAATAATCCATCCTACCCAATCTTGCGTTATACTGCTTATCTATCTTATGCCATCTACCTATAACATCTTTTCTGATCAGTTTATATTTCACTTATGTTTGTAAAAGTTAAATTGTTAAATCACTATATATCTTATTTTTAAAGTTCTTTTTTAAGCTTAATTTCCCCTCAGTATTTCAGTCATTCCTTAGTCCTAATTGTCTTCAGCTTAATTTACCTTTAAATTTCAAACTTTTCATTCACATACATCATCCCAATATTTTTACATTTTATATATTATGAAAAATACTATATTACTTATATCTCTTATCCCTCTTCTTGTAGGATCCCTTTATATCCAAAGTTATCTGTCTTTTAACTGTATTCAAACAAATGTTTGCTCATATAATACTCCATCTGGTAGGGCAAGTCAAATCTCTTGAATCTGTCTCTGGCCTTCTTCTTTTGCCAAGTAGCTTTCCAAGTTGATATATTCCGCTTGCCAGGAAGTTCTTGTATTTTTGTAAGTATTGATGGACATGGAGAAGACAGGATGCATAGAATATATGCTTTTTTTCTCCCAAACTCTAATGGTTCTCCTGGCAGTTCTATAGTCCATTTTGTTAAATCTTCTTTCTTGTCCTCAGATTTATTTTGACGTTCTGATGAAATTAGTATCTTTTCCATTTTTATTGTTATGTCAATAAATGTCTTGTAGGTTTTTTCCTGTTTGTGTTAAATTATAATTCTCTTCATTTGTAGCTTTGTTGATTAAGTCATTTTCTTCTAGTTTATGTTCTGTTATTTGATTTGTTTGTTCATTCTTTACCATAATTTTCTGAGTGTTTTTTATTGTGAGATGTGCTCATTTATGTCATCAAAGTTATTTTTTATCTCATTGTGGTTTGAAGCTATTGTCATTTGTATCTGTTGTAGCATTATATACATTTCTTCCTGGAAAGTATTTGTCTTGTCTTGAAATGTTGCTTCTGTTGTCTTTGATATTTCAGGCTAGGTCCTTCGGGAATAAGTATTAAATGTGGTTTTCTGTCATTTTTTGATAAGTATGCAGTGTCCATGTTGTCTCCCTCTTTCAAATAGTCCATCAGTGCCATAGTCTCTATAATTAGCCTTATCGATCCAGCCAAACTCAGAATCCAAACAGCCCAAATTTTGTATAGTTCTTATTTTATATATAGTTTTTATAATCCACTGTATTTCCAATTGTCAAGGCATCAGTAAAATCAATATTTTATAATAGTTCTTTTATTCAGGGGTCAGTTGTCAACCAATCAAAATTGCAATTCAGTATATTTAGCCACCTTGAGTTCTTCCTGTAAATTCCCCCCTAAAAGATTAGCCCAGAGTCAAAGTTTTTCTTTTTCTGTAAACAGTTCTTGAGTTTAGACAACAGTCAGTGTATTTCTTTTCCTTCAGACACTTTTTAATCTTATGGTTGGCCCAGTATGTATTCTTTCTTTGTCCCCACCCAGCTGTCTTCTGAGAGTTATTAAAGTTCAAGAGAACAGATTATTCCTTGTTTCTGGGCATCTTGCCAATTACTGAGTCAGTGTTGTTAATGTTCTATGTTCTAGTTCTCCACTAGGTGTCAGTAGTTGTTTGTTTTTCAGCTTTTTTAGACATATTATTATTATTATTATTATTATTATTATTATTATTATTATTATAGTTTCATCAAAACCCTTTAAAGTATAATTTTAGCAGTTTTTTTAATTTCTAGATTTATCCAGACTGTAGTATTTTAACTTTGATTTCAATATATTTTTTTCGCCCTTGAAGGTTAATTTGCCACTTCCATCCATGGGGGAGTGGGGTGTAGTCCCCTCCCTTCACTTTCGGAGGTTTTCTTATTTTGGGGATCTTTCCCAAGGACTTAGTTACAGAGTAGAGGACAGAAGATCGGGACTCTCACCAGTTCCAAGCATGCTGTTCACCATTGTTCTGCTCTTGGACTTTGGCTGCAAGTAGCTTGGGCTCGATGCTGGTGTGCAGCTAGCCTTTCTCCTGTTGAGTTAGAGGGCTTCCCCCAGATCGAATGGAACAACTGCTGTTGTTCCGTGATTATCGGGGCACTCCTCTTTCTTCTTTGCCTCTCTGGGGCTACTTCAGACCCATTTAGGGTCCACTGGCAGGGCGAAATCAGCCGTGAGGTGCGGAATGCCGCAATCCTGCGGCTGTGCGCTATGGCACAAAAACCGGAAGTCTCTTGATTTCAGCTTTATCTTTGGGCTTGTAGTTTTCATTAATTTCTGCAGAGAATGAAAATCATAAAGTCAAACTACAACATTGAGCTCATTTAGAAAGCTATTTCACTTTCTGACACCATGGCAATACCTTGGCTCCATTTTATTGTATTTTCTGTAATAAAGACTGCAGTTAAGATACATTTTGGAAAACATTAGGACATGAAAGAAAAAGTGTTATAGTTTAAAAGAGTAAACCTACTTTTAAATCATGCCAAAACCTTTTCCTCTTTATGTTATGTGAGCACTTCCACTTTGCTCTTTTTTCCATTTTGTTTACATATTAAAGTAATGAAACAAAAAGTATGTTGAATCATGAACTATTTTGTCTCTTTTTAGCTTAATCCAATGAGTTTTGCAGACCAAGGCAGTAGCAAAATACAACTTAGAAGGATTTGCTGCATCTTCTTTCGACATATATAGAATGTCTTTGTATGAAAAATCAAGTTTGTTTATCTTTTTTTTATATATACCTTTCTTCCTTGTTAATTAATGTTGGGCTTTAACAGGAAGCACAAAAATTGATTTCTACTTCATTTGGATGCAAGATGAAGAAGCAGGAAAGACTTGTTAGATTTGGCATTGTATTGTGCTCTAGTTATATCTTCCTGCTCTCATTTCCTGTTTCTGTTCCAAAAAATTCCACTGCAATGTACTATATCATCCCCAAATGACTCTGCTTTTTATACTGGTATACTAAAATAGGTGGTGTCATTCTGCAATTTGTATCTATTCTCTGCAGAGAATTATGTGACTGCCTGGCAGAGGGAAATATCTGTCCCCATTCAATATGCTGTTTTAGAAGCACAGGTACTCCTTGTTTAGTGACCACAGTTGGGACTAGCAGCTTTATAATTAAGCAAAGCAGTTTGCACCGTACAAAATTATGGGACTGTAAGTGTGCTTTCTGGCTCAAAACTGACAAGATTAATCTGTTTCACATATTTTTTTTCCTCCTAACTTAATGTTTGTATATGAAATAAGTTCCTGCAGAATATTTTTCTACAATAGGCTTGTGGCATGTGCTTAGTTTCAGAATGGCTCCGGTTATTGCCTTTCCTGGGTGTCCTTGCTCTGCTCGGATATCTTGCTATTCGCCCACTCCTTCCCAAGAAGAAACAGCAGAAGGACAGCTTGATTAATCTCAAGATCCAGAAGGAGAATCCCAAAGTAGTAAATGAAATCAACATTGAGGATCTATGTCACACTAAGGCAGTGTACTGCAGATGCTGGCGCTCTAAAACAGTGAGTTTATTGAATTTGCTATACACTTTTTACTTAAGGTTGTTCTTGTCACTTATGATATAGAGTTGCTCGCTGCTTTTAAAAGACATGATTGTACACTTCGGGGTAGAATGTTCCTGCAGACTGTTTATCACTAGTGAGGAATTAATACTTTTTTTTTCACTTTTGCCAGAACTAGTTTTGATTTCATACTGGTAAATACCTCCATTTTAAAATATATTCTGTAGCTAGAGAAACAATATTGTCCGTAGTCCTTCAGGATCATTGGGATATGTGATGCTTGAGAATTTTATGTTTTTTTGTGAACACATCAATTGCATGGATATCTAGCATGGCTCAGGTAGTTTGGCAAATTCATATGTGTTCATCATTAAAAGTTCTTTGCTTTCATTTAGTTTCTGACATGTTGCTGAACTGCAAGGTTGAATTTGCTGGGAAAGAACAACAGCTATGATATAGATATGATTTCTCCGTTTTATTTAACTACTTAAGGATAGCATGCCATTTCAGGGTTAGAATAAGTGTTATAAATCATGTCTTGTTATGCCAATTGATCATAAACCATAATTGAATTTGGATATAGAGCCAAATAATATTATGGTCTTGTTACTTATAATTTGACATGTCCAAATTGGCAACTATAGCTCATTTTTTAGCATTACACTAAGCAGAATCCTCTACATATTGTATGTAACACTTAATATAATTTTATTGCCACCACAAGAATTGTAACTTAGAGGAAGAAAGTGAAGATATAAGTACAGCCAATACCAATTGAATTCTCAAAATAGAGTAATGGAATTTATTAATATAGATATTTTATACCAAGCCTATTACGATTTCTAAACCACCCTTTATACCTTAATACGTGCAAGCCAAACCAGTTGTTGAAGTTAAACTAAAAAGAAAAAGATTTTGGAAATAATATTTTTGTAGCTATTCATTTCTGACCATTGCTCGCTTCTGTTAGCCAACCACTCTACATGTTCAACTTGTTCAGTATTGATGATGAATAAACATAGTCCATAATTTAAACCACCAAGAGTGTCATTTAGTTTTAGATTACCTTTTTTGATTCTTCTCATCCTTGGTGATTTATTACCCAAACCAGCCTACCAACCTCATCTGAGTATGTATTGTGTTTATTAATGTATTTGAGTCTAACGTGACCCTTAATCTCATTATAGTTGTAAAATCACTAACATTCCAGGTTGCCTACTTTTACTCTTTTTTGTTTCAGTTCCCTGTCTGTGATGGCTCTCACAACAAACACAACGAGTCAACAGGAGATAATGTAGGACCTTTAATACTCAGGAAAAAAGAAGTCTAGCAAACTCCTAAGTATTCTATGACTGATGGGAAGTCTACTTGTATACATATTTGTAAGCCTTTCTGTCTTATATGTCACAGGGTTAAATTTTGGAATATTTTAAATTATCTTAGATTTATACTTTGGGCTAGATGTTTGGTAATGTGTTTTATATAACAAAAATGTACTATATCTATGCCTTGTAATCATCGCAGAATTATTTTTCCCAGAACTACAGGAGTTGTAACAAGGATAGATAGATAGATAGATAGATAGATAGATAGATAGATAGATAGATAGATAGATAGATAGACAGACACCTCTATTCTAATTACAGATGTATCAATACTACGGAGTTAACAGATTTTAAACCAGCTGTACTGCCAGATTGCCACAAAACTGGGAACTGATTTTTGGAGGTTGTCAAAGATGATCATAATTTTGGTCTTAAGTGGGTTTAGGAATTTGCATACAAACCAGTACTTCAGTTTGAACATTAAGTGTGTTCAGGAATCACTTTTATTCAGAACCGCAGATAGCCTTCTTTGAGAACGATTAAAGAGATATACAACTAGTAGCAGAGTGTTTTTTGCTTTTCAGAAGTGATACAGATTGTATATAATTGGCTTGTCTGTGATTTAGAAACTATAGCATTATGTATTGATGTTTTGAAATATAGAAGAGTTCAGTCCAAGAACTACCTATTTTATTTGCACAATTGATGGTGTTTAGTAATTACTGCTGCATTAAATGAACTATAGTAATTAACCTACTTGCTACTAAACCTGCTCTCCCCTTAAACAAATTAGTTCATGGTATATGAACAGGATAGCACTCTGAACTTCAAATAATCTAATACTTGTTTTGCACATTTTCCAAACCTTCTTGGTCTGTATATTCAATCTACCTGTATGTCTTGTACGTAGTTAAGTTCAGATTCCCATGTGCAAGAGTAACATTAGTTGGTCATGGCCCACATTTTACATAATATTAAGCTGTATACTCTGGAAAATATCAGTTGCTCCAAAGGATTCAGGCAAACTAATAAAGGAATAGTAAATGATGCTAGATTAAAGTGTGTACTAACTATTTTTTATGTTGAAGAAATGGGCTGAAATCAAAAAAATCTTAGACATTATATAGTCACAGAAAAAGTAAATTCCTTTTCTCTATCCTCCTGAATTTCAGGAAATTCTCCATGAACAAAATCCAGATTTCTATAAAAACAGTTTACCTTGTTAGTTAACTATCTGGTGTAGGGGTTGTTTGTAAAACTTAAATTCTACATCTGGTGTCCCAAATATTTCCATTAATTCTGAAAATCCCTTGTCTGCATATTTAACCGCAGAAAAACAGTTGCTAGAAATGTACAAATATAATATGCTTACCATCAGTTTCTTTCTAGAGAAATCATGCATTTCTACTTAAAGAAAAACACACAACTAAGTATTCCTTTTGATGATCACTTTGTTTCTTAAAAAGCAATGGTTACATTTTTTTATTTTTCTGGTCATGGAGACCAAGGATCTTTCTTGAAATGTATGATACTGGACAACGAAATGAACTATGAACTGGATGAAATTTCAGCAAGTTACAAAATGACAAATAAGGTAAACAAATATGGACCAACTTCCAGAATTCCTCAGCCGGTCCACACATTTTTAAATTGCCAAGGTTGAAAAACACTGATCTGATATATCTATGTGAGGAAAAAATGTGGATAACTAAGCCAATGAGCTAGTTCCTAACTATGATTTTTACTGAAAGTATTCACTGAAAATATTTCATTGAAAATATTTTTCTCCAATATAACAGGAAATTAAGTAATTTTAAGTTGATACATAATGATGAAGAACTGAGTTGTTGAGTTGTCTCATAAAAAAGGTTCCAAAAAATACCACCTTCAATACTATCTTGCCTTCTAATAGCAAATATTTTCAACTGTTTTGTAAGGGGACAAGGGGGAGTCCTATTTGTGTAAGAAATCCTGAACCTCTGAGTTCTCCTGTTAAAGCAAACACTTCAGGCAAGTTTCTGGTATGGTTACATTTTTGGTCACTGTTTTATCTCTTCAGGCTTGAAGTAAAATTACTAATCTCCACAGCAATTGCGTGCCTGTGGTTGAAACTTGAAGCAGGACAGGTTATCCTGGCAGCAAAATAAATACCTAACTTTGCTCTGGACTGTAATGACACAATATGTAATTAGGAAATGACTGTTACCTGATTTGCCATTCTTTATCCGTTCAAATAAAAATGCTGAAATTGTTTGAAGATTAAATAAGATAGTGAATAAAATGTGTGTGTGTGTACATGAAATAAACTGACAGTGTGTATTTGGTCTAAATAAATAAAAAGAGAAATTGGTTGGTTGCTATCAAATCATGTGTCGCTTCCTAGTAATTACATGGATAGATTTTCTCCAAATGTTTTTTTGTTCAACTTGGCTTTTAGGTCTTTTGCTGTTGTCATTAAACCTACCTAACTTCCATTTAGCCTTGTCTTCAATTCATCTTTTCCAGTCCCTTTATTGAGCAGCTACTCTGATAAGACTTGGAGAATGAGTGAGAATGGTCTGTGTGTATGTATTAGCGAAGCATTGCTATAGTGCAGGGATGTCAAACTGCCAGTCCGCAGACTGGTTGCATCATATGTAGGACACGCCCACCACAGCTCTGGCAATGCAAAAAAAAGTCACAATACATCGCAACACGTCACGTGACGAGTTTGACACCCTGCTATAGTGTAACCAATAAAGCTGGCTTAACAAAATTATTTGTGTACTGCATGTCATTTAGTGTGAGACATTTACCTGCCCAAGATCCTACAAGAGTTAATATCAAAATAAGTAGAAGGCAATTTTGCTTTAACCCCAACTTTTGGAATCTACACACATTTGGAAGTTTTGCTCATACAAAACAGCTTCTACAGAAGACATGATCAATCACAAGCGTTTGTGTTTACTAGAAGGCAAAGAGTAAATTTGCTCTCTATTACCTTTACAACCTCCAAAATGCGATGCATACCAGGATACCTACGTATATATTTTTGTCTGTACATATCACCACATGTCCATAAGAAGCACTAGGCTGATGCACATACCACTGTTATTTTCTCAGGGTACCTATGATTCCTACATGAGCTCCAAAGGTTTCCTAGAAATACAGGGTTGGTATATCGCTAGAAAAATGTCAGTTTCTATTCAGTTTTTAACTGTAAGAATCTGAACAAATAGACCTCCATCCCTGTACTGATGCACATGGGCACCATTTTATCTATGTTTGTCCCAAACCGAGATTGACCAATTGTGTTAAAAACTACTGGCATTCTACAGTATTTTTCAGAATCAGGGCTCTGATATGCATTAAAAGAATTCTCATCTTTTTATCAGAACATACCATTCCAGCTAGAAATGACAAAACAATGACCCAGAGTCCTCTAGCTCTTGCAATGCCAAAATGTTTGCTGCTCAAAAGAGAAAATGCAGACAAGCCAATCACAAAGAAGGATCTTTTTCTTACAATGGATTTCTGAAAGAAGAGAACTGGAAAAGGGTTATAATGGGTAGAGTGCAACAAAACACGTTATACACTGCCTCCTGGTGATCAAGTAAAGCATATATCTAAGCAATGTATAATGAAATAGGCTGCCCCGGGCAGTGGGATCATGATATAATTCCAACTTACTTTCTAGAGTTTGGGTATTAATAAAGTGTATATTATCCTTATAAAATTCAAATCACGGCAGTAATATTCACTTGCTTGCTGATAGGAAATCCAACTTTTCAATTATAAGTTATTGCTATTCACATGTGCAGAGAAACTGAAAAACCAGAAAGTTCAAATTTACTATCTTTACAGCTAGTGGGCTGCAAGCAGTCAAAGCTCTCTTTTTAATATTTTAAATAATGACATGATAGTGTTGCATTTAAAATAATTTTGGTGATCAGAAAATGTGATGTTTTCACAGGATCTTGGTCTTACCACCAATGATTAGAAAAATTACACTGGCTCTGTATCTTTTGAGCAATGTTTTGGCTCCTGAAATGATCAATGCTTCTGGACATCTTTATTTTGTCATCATTTTTCTTCAGTTATATGTCTTTTTTATCAGTGGTTTGCTTTTTCTTCCCAGAAAAGAAAAATACATCCAGTAAAATAGAACAACTACACAATGCTTTTGATCAAAAGCTGTCTTATCTGGAAGTACTCTAGGACAGTGTTTCTTAACTTTGGGAACTTTAAAATGGGGAGACTTGAATTCCCAGCATCTTGGCTGTGGAATTCTGGGAGTTTAAATCCACCTATTGTAAAAGTTGCTAAGTTTGAGAAACGCTGCTCTAGGACACAGATAATTTCCATTTTGTCAAATTTCAATCATTCCTACTTCATGAGACATAAATCTGTAATCTACAAATCAGGAAGTTGGATAATTTTAAACCTCTCTCCCAAAGATCTCCAATAAATGATAACTATGATAGCCTGCCATTAGTCAAGCTAAACCTTCTGAGTTTCTCAGTCTGCCCAGTTGGGAAGTTTTTAACCCTCCTACTTTTGAGTCTAGGTCTAGGAAAAAAAGAAAAGAATGTGTTCTAACCAATGCCCAGAAATACCATATTTAACACAGTTTGTGCCAATCCTGTACTTCAAGGGGTAGCTATGTAATTCTGTAATCTTGCATGTGGGGATTGTTTTAATAAAAATTCCCTTAAAAATTATTGATGCCAATTCTATAAAGATGAGCTTATTTTAAAAAAAGGGAAATCAAGGGAAGGTAACAATCACACACATAGTTCAAATAAGCCAATACAATCAGCCCATTGAAGGGCTACTTACTACATACTAAAATAAGGTCTTAAGTTTCAGGACATACAGTATTCATTGCAGAGCAGGTATCTTGACGGTGATCATTTGGACCTCTTGTAGAAAGAGAGGAGTTTTTCATTCCTTTTTTATTCTTTTTCTCTCCCTATGATAGTTATCCCCAGTTTTATAGTAAAAGCTAGTCAATTTGCAGGGACTTACTATTGCTTTGCCCTATAAAAAACAATGTCCTATCTGTGATATCCTAGGTCTAGCTGGCAAAGTAGACTTTAAGTAAATTATAAATCTACTTTCCAATCCTTGCTGAAATAGGAACATTTTAGTCTAGCGTTTACCAATTCTGCCTTTGTAAATATAGGATTACAACACATTTTGGAAGGAATAGCTGAGTTTCTTCTACAGGCAGTCTTCAACTTACAACCATTCATTTAATAACCATAGTTACAATGGCACTGAAATAAGTTACTTATAACAGTTTTTCACATACCAATGCAGCAGCCCTGTGGTCACATGATCAAAATCCAGATGCTTGGCAACTGGCTTATATTTATAACGGTTGCTGCATTACTGAATTATGTGTGTATGATTACTTACATTTCTGACTTGGCTAAGGTTACAGCTAAATATCAAAACAACATATAAAAAAGTGGTATCTGTCTCAGGGTTTTAGTATTCTACTGATTTATTTATTTATTTCAAATATTTATATGCCGCCCAATCCCAAAGGACTCAGGGCGGCGTACAGAGTTAAAACAATCATAAAACAATACAATAATACAGTCATACCGCGAGTCCGATCATATCCCGCTCCCCCGGAGACATCAGCCCCAGGCCTGCCGGAACAGGAGAGTTTTAACGGCTTTCTTAAAGGCCGGCAGGGTGGGAGTAGTTCGAACCTCGGGGGGAAGTTGATTCCACCAGGTCGGAGCCACCACAGAAAAGGCCCTTCCCCGAGGGCCCGCCAGCCGACATTGTCTGGCCGACGGGACCTGAAGGAGGCCCAATCTAGGGGACCTCACCGGTCTCTGGGAGCTGTGCGGCAGAATGCGGTCCTGTAAGTAACCTGGCCCTATGCCATGAAGGGCTTTAAAGGTGATAACCAACACTTTGAATTACGTCCGGAGACCCACAGGAAGCCAGTGCAGCTCGCGGAGGATAGGTGACACGTGGGCGTACCTTGGCGCGCCCATAATCGCTCTCGCGGCTGCGTTCTGAACCAACTGCAGCCTCCGAACGCCCTTCAAGGGTAGCCCCATGTAGAGCGCGTTACAGTAATCCAGTCTTGAGGTGACAAGGGCATGAGTGACTGTGAGTAAAGCCTCCCAGTCCAAATAAGGCCACAACTGGTGCACTAGGCGAACCTGTGCAAAGGTCCCCCTGGCCACAGCCGATAGATTTTGTTCCAAATTTAGCTGTGAGTCCAGGAGGACACCCAAGTTGCGTGCCCGCACTGAGGGAGGTAAATTTGCCCCCCCCAGGACTAATGATGGACCATCCAGTTGGCCTTTGGGAGGCAAGACCCAGAGCCACTCGGTCTTGTCAGGTTGAGTCTAAGCCTGTTCACCCCCATCCAGACCCTCACATCTTCCAGGCACCGGCACATCACGTCGACTGCTTCACTGAAAGGACACGGGGTGGAGATATATAATTGGGTATCATCTGCGTACTGATGATACCTCACCCCGTGTCGCCGAATGATCTCACCCAGCGGTTTAATGTAGATGTTAAAAAGGAGGGGGGACAGGACCGAGCCCTGAGGCACCCCATGATCGAGGCGCCTAGGGGTCGATCTCTGTCCGCCCGCCAACACCGACTGCGACCTGTCAGAGAGGTAGGAGGAGAACCACCGCAATACGGTGCCGCCCACCCCCACCTCTCCGAGACGACGCAGAGGGATACCATGGTCGATGGTATCGAAAGCCGCTGAGAGGTCAAGAAGCACCAGGATAGAGGAATAACCCCTATCCCGGGCTCGCCAGAGGTCATCGGTCAGTGCGACCAAAGCAGTCTCAGTGCTGTAGCGGGCCTGAAACCAGATTGAAAAGGGTCCAGATAATTAGTTTCATCCAAGGATCGCAAGAGTTGGGACGCCACCACCTTCTCTACAACCTTCCCCACAAAGGGGAGGTTGGAGACGGGACGAAAGTTTTTCAAAACAGCTGGGTCCAGGGAAGGCTTCTTGAGGAGGGGCCTCACCACCGCTTCCTTTAAAGGTTGCGGGAAAGACCCCTCCATCAAGGAGGCATTGATTATTGCCTGGAGCCAGCCTCGTGTCACCTTCCTACTGGCAGAAACCAGCCAGGAGGGGCACGGGTCCAATAAACAGGTGGCGGCATTCATTGCCCTCACGGCCTTGTCCACTTCATCAGGGGTCACAGGCTCAAACTCGCTCCAGATAACATGACTAAGACCAGCCCCTGGCAACTCGGCTGGCACTGCCCAGTCGGAGTCCAGGTCTCTCTGAATCCGAGCGATTTTGTCCGAAAGAAACTGAACAAACTCCTCAGCTCTCCCCTGTAAGGGTTCCTCCGCCTCCTCCACTTTAAGAAGGGAGCGGGTCACCCTAAACAAGGCGGCCGGGCGAGATTCTGCGGACGCAATAAGTGCGGAAAAGTGAACACGCTTTGCCGCCCTTATCGCCACTAAATAAGTCCTAAGATAGGCTCTT